TCACAGAGCATGACAAGTGACAGTCGTGGTCGAGAGGGTGTACCATCAGGGAAATCTCTGGCTTTAAAGAAGAGGCAATGTTTGGTTTCTTGAGGGAGCCTGTGAGAAAGTTATCTGAAACAACGTGTATCTAGAGAAATGGGAAAAAAAATAAACCAGCAGTTGGGGCACCCAGGTGGCTCAGTTGGTTAAGCATCTGCCTTCAGCTCAGATCATGATCTTGGGATCCTACGATGGAACCCCAGGTCAGGCTCCCTGCTCAGTGGGGAGTCTGCTTTTTTCTCCTCCTCTCCCCCCTTCTTCCCCTCATGATTTTGCTCTTTCTCTCAAATGAATAAATAAAAAATCTTTAAAAAAAAAACCCAGCCCATCTCTTTTTATGAGATGCTATCTGGAAGAATAGCCCATGCCTGGTATCTCAGAAATGGCAAACATTTTCCACTTTGTCAAGGGTACAACAGAACAGTACACAAAGAGACCAAGCCTACGTGACACAAAGTGGAACTTGCATAAAAAACGGAACCGGTGTTGACTGTCAGGTTAGCTTACCCGGGCCTTTTAAAGTCCCAGTTACACCAAGCAGCCTAATATTCCCCTCCCGTTGTGTTACTTAGACACATGTAGAGTTTAGTAAACGCCGTGATGATATAGTCATCTGGAGGTGAAGAGGGTCTCAGTCTCGTGGTACAAATGCATCTCTAATCCCCACACAGGGAAAGCACAGAAGGAGGACCCAGAGGTAACCCCCTGCAGCAGGAAATTGGAGCTTCATCCTGCTCCCCTGCCAACCTCCTGTCTCCGTTTCCTCCCAGCAAATATCTCCATTCCAATCTCCCCTGCCACTTTGTCATGGTTTAGCTGTCCTTAGAAAGCTACCCTAAATAGGTTTGTACGGAGGGACCCGGGCCCGGTGATTCACTGGACAACACAGGAAAAGTGTTTAAACAGACCAGTGTTTAAAAACCAGACCGCAACAACACAGTAACAAAAAGACATGTTTATTTTTACATAAGGAGACTGTGTACACACACATACACACACAGAGGCACATGCATGCCCACACAGACACATATGTGCATGTATTTTCTTTGTCTCCTTAGCCAGAGTATAGGCAAGGTAATTATTTGGCCAAATCAATGCATGCGATCATTCCAGCCTAGAGTGGCCCAGAATTTCTAGTTCTAAATGATTCATCAGTGCCAAGCATGATAAGGAAGGGTGAGGAAATGAAATGCATAATTGCGGCAATTCTCCACTTTCCTTTGCATATATTCATTATTGAGAATCAATTCCAATTTGAGAGGAGGCTTTCATTCCTTGCAAATGAAGAGGAAGTGAGTAAAGTAAATGTTCGGGGGTTTTCCTCAAATTATGTCTCGGGATGTAAGAAAACAGTGGCAAAAAGCCATCAACAGATGGTGTTTTCATTAGCCAGAGATTTATTTTTCAAAGCATTTTCATATTAATGAAGTAAGGTTGAAATTAGAGTCATCTTGTCAGTTCTAGTTCTGTGTCGTTAAAATGTGCTGGCATTCTGCAAATTGCTAAGGGGCTAGAGCAAAATAACCATTTGCCATAATTTTGTGATGGTAATCCAAGGTCCATAGTAAAACCAGACCCCAAATTATGTGTTCGACCCTAATTTTTGTTTTCAGTGGCTTTACAGAAGCTGTGAGTCTCAGTGCTAGGCCATAAGTGAGGAACACACAGCAGGGGATCTTAGTCCTGCTCTGCCCTATGAATTATTTATAGTCTATTAGTTTCATGACAAGTGTTGCAACAGGTTGCATGGACTTGTTAGAAAACATTTTCCCCATGGAACCCTGTGTTTGAATGGTAACACATTACAGTCTGAAGCACAGATTTCTAATACTGTATCTGCTCTGAGTTCCTCAGTCTACATTTATGCCTACCTAATATGTCAATATGGTCAATGGTGAGACATGGGGTTTCCATTGCTCTGTGAATCTGGACCACTGTGCTCGTAGAAGTCATAAACGGATTGGGTTCGTTACCAATGCCCCCTGTCTAACCTGAGCTGGACCGTTTCACCAAACTGTAGCTCTGTCTTAGTCACCACCCTCTCCAGCCAAGTTTTTGGAGATGAGTTCAGACTTGCTGCCTCCACATCATCACAACTGACTGACTCCCTAACTCAACATTTTGACATCTGCTTCCAAAACTTGACTGTAACTCCTTTTTCTAGAGGTCACTGGTGACTTCCATTTACCAAATCCAACTGCGTTTTATTATTAGTTCTCTTATTTCTTGCCCTCCCTGCATACTCAACAGTGACAAATCCTTTCTTGGACTGTATTTCTCTTAATCATCCTCTCAGCTTGGCCCAGACCTGCATTACCAGCTGCCTTGAATAGCACAGCTTCCTCTTAATCAGTGCCCCTGCTCCAAGGCTCTCCTGTTCCAGTCAGCCCTAGATATTGCTGGTAGGTTGAGCTCATAACTGCGGCCCAGATGTTGTCAAAAAAGAAATAGGCACAAACTCCTCACCTCAGCATTCAAGGCCTTCAAAACTGGACCTCCGGCTCCATTTCCAGCCTCATCCCCCACTACTCTCTTGTACCTTCTGTTCTAGCCAAATTCAATCTCTCTCCCCCAACATGTCTATATACTTTATTCACTTTGACTCAGGTTATTCCCTCCGCCTGGGACCCCCTGTCCTCCTCCATCTATGTTTGTTAAAATCCTACTTTTACTTGAAGACCCACCTTAGTTTCACCTCCTCTTTCTCTTGGAATATTCACTGCACCCTCAACAGAGTAGGTGCTCATTACCTTTTGTTGTATTCAACCGCTGAACTTCTGCCATTCCTTTTTTTTTTTTAATTTCTTGACATCTACTTAGCTAAAAGATCATATCCGAATCATTAACTGCTGCCCTCCGTTCTCCCTTCTTGACACTCTTTACCCTCGCTGAGGAGAAGCCCGCGGATTGAGATGGTTGGAGAGTTAAAGGGGGCCAGGGGAGACAACCGTGCCAAAGCCACCAAGAACAGTGGAATGCATGGGGGAAAAAAATCACATCCATGAGAATAAAGCCAAAGAAACAAAGAGAGATCTGGCAAGAAGGGAAGCAAAGATGAAGCTGGTTCTCATAATCCAGTTTGAGACTAGTGAGATCAGACTGCCCCATCCTAGAAATACATATATCCATGGGAATATGCCCCCTGGGATGGACTTATTCTTGGCCAGTGCCAAGAATACTAAGGAGCCCTAGCTACTTAGTAGACCAGAAAGGGGCCAAGTGCATGAGTCCTTTCCCACTGCCCACACATCCCTTTGCTCCCCCCCCAACCCCTCTTATCAAAAACATGAACTTTGAGCAACTACAAACCGTAGGAGCCATGGATACAGCAATGAAGAAATGTACACAACCAAAGGAAGGAATGTTAGCAGAACCAGGGCTAAGAGGTTGGGGTATTACATTTGGAACAGACTTTGGGGGGGTGTTGGGATGATGAGTATGAGAGGAGTGGATTTTGGGACAGGCCCTGGGGAAGAAGCAGCCACTGGAGCTGAAGACTTGGGAATTGGGAGGAATCTAAAAGCCTATTATTATTATTATTATTATTATTATTATTATTAAAGATTCTGGGATCCCTGGGTGGCTCAGCGGTTTAGCATCTGCCTTTGGCTCAGGGCGTGATCCTGGAGTCCTGGAATTGAGTCCCACATCGGACTCCCTGCATGGGGCCTGCTTCTCCCTCTGCCTGTGTCTCCACCTCTCTCTCTCTGTGTGTGTGTGTGTGTGTGTGTGTGTCTCACAAATATATAAATAAAATATTTTAAAAAATAAATTAGAAAATATTTTATTATTCGTAAGACACACACACAGAGAGACAGAGAGACAGAAACACAGGCAAAGGGAGAAGCAGGCTCCATGCAGGGAGCCCGATGTGGGACTCGATCCCAGGACCCCAGGATCATGCCCTGGGCCGAAGGCAGGCACCAAACTGCTGAGCCACCCAGGGATCCCCTAAAAGCCCATTATCAATCTAGAGTGAATAACACACTGTTTTTTTCCACATAGGGAATGGGAAGAGAGTAGCTTGTTCAATGGAAAATATGCTAAGAGTTCTGAGCACCATTGTAATTCTGTTAGAGTAAACAGATTTGCAAAATGCTTCTAATGTATGCATGAAGGAAGCTATGTACCAGTAAGCAATGATGAGCAATGGATGGCCTACGTTGATATGTTACACCAGGGGTAGCACAGGCACTGTCTTAGGGCCAAAGAAGGGAAGCTGTGAGGTACAGTGCTTGATTTTGATGAACCTCACAGTTAAAATAGCACCTTTTTTTCTGAAGGAAACTACTGATAAATCTAAAATGTTTCCAAAAAAAAAAAAGTCATGAATATTGGGGCAAAGCTATGACTGAGGCTAGAGAGGTGGGTTCTAGTCTTGGCTTAATCACACACTAATTATAGGACTGTGAAGAACACTTTATCCCCATTCTGAAGCTCAGTTCTCATCTGTAAAATGCTGACATATCTTACCTCATGGGTTGTTACAGTTATTAAATGTTATATATGAAATTGTCTCACATCGTGTCTGGCGAGTACTACTTGTTCAATAAATTATAGTTTCCTTAGTGTACTCATCTGTAAAAGAGAGGTTAATACCTATTTTCCTTACATCACTGGGTTACTATGATAGCAACATGAAATGCTATGATATACGTTAAAAAGTTAAAAATATGATAGAAAACATAAGGTCTCCTTAATATCATTAAATTCCTGTATCCGCAAAGCTGTGAATATCTTTTCCCCAATAACGAGAGTCTGGAGCAAAGGTACAGTATTATTATAATTAGCACCTAGAACAGTGCTTGGTTTGCAGTAAGTGCTTAGTGAATCTTTGAAATGCTTGTCAGCTGACTGAATGATCTCCACCTAATATTGGTTCTCAAGTTCACTGAACATTTCTTATTTTTTCCCCTCTTCCCTGTTTCCCTCTGGCTTTACCCTCTCTGTGATGGAAGCAAACTCTGGAGATGAACCTCACCAACCTGGTGAAGCGCAACAGTGAACTAGAAAATCAAATGGCCAAACTAATACAGATCTGCCAACAAGTCGAGGTACGTAATGCAAACATTTGCAACTCTTTCAGAGGACCTGGATGAGGCGATCCTTTGAGGGCACTGGAGGCTTGTCAAGAGTGTAGCTAAGCCATTTGGAGTGAAGAGCTGAATGATAGTTCTAGGGGATCTCATTTCCTTAGGATGCTCATTCCAAGAAAAGGGGCAAATGTCTATTGTTAAACAGAAATAGATGGGTGGTGGGCGATGGACTGGGGAGACAGTGGTCCAGGGGGTCCAGGGTCCCTTCTCCTTTCCCAGTGGCAGGCCATATGAGAATCCAACATGAAGTGTGTTTCTTCCTTCATCAAACTGGACACTGCAGCCCCCTAAAGAGATGGCTGGGGTGTCATAGGGGAAGCTGGGAAATCCCAGGTCCTTAGAGTAGGCCGAGGTTCGTTCTGTGCCCTCTCATATCTATAAGAGTACTTTCAGGACGGCTTTTCCTTTTTCTAGCCTCTCCTCCCTTTGTTTCCATGCCCCTCACTTGATTCTCACTCATCACCATTCCACCTACTCTTGTCGTCAACAAATGATATCTATGTTCAAGTTGTCTGTGAATTGTAAAGTGTCACACAAGTCTAAGGTTTTTGAAATCTGTTACCTACGTCAAGTCTACATCAAAGAGCAGAGCTTACAAGAGGAGTCAGTCTTTTCAGAAGTGGATGTGATAAAAGAAAGATGTTATTTCCCTCTCTTTCTCAAGAGCATGGGACTCCAGCTGTAGCCTTTGTTTTTGTGTTGGTTTTGTTGAAGAGGCCATGGTAGGGCTTCAAGTTCTAAACTGGGTCGGGTGAGATGTGATAGCGCTCTTCCTGGGGCAGTGATTGGCTAAAAAGGTTTCTAATTCTATTTACAACCCAATGGTCTAGTTCTAATCTTACTTATGTGACAGATAAATGTTGTGGTTCAAGTGAAATCCCACCTAGGGATTTCTACTTAAGAGAGTGTGAGAATCTTCTAGTAAGAAAAAGAATCGTCCTCATGTGAATAAGCACTCCTGACTGTTTGGATTTCTTCAAGTCATGCATTTCTTAAAGTCGGGTGGGTGTACCTGGATGATGAGTTTAGCATCTCAATTTAATCCCTGCTAGGGCACTCCATTTGTGCAAGAGAGTGGCACTGTAGGCAGGGTGCATAAGATACTGGATACAGGGTGCATAGGGTGCCCTTAATTGGTAATGGGAATTTGAGGAAAGTCACTTTCTCTCTCAGCATCAATATCCTTACCTGTAAAATAAAGGGTTGAACTGACTACCTGACCTTCCATGTGTCTTCCAGATTTCAGGGCTCATGATTCTGTGAGTGGTGACTTCCTTTAGACTCTTCTTTTGCTAGTCGATTTCATTCTTCCCATGTGGGGAGAAACAAAACAGAAGGCATTTTAGAGTGCTTTTCAGTTAGTCAGAATCCCTCTCTGTTCCACTCTATCAAAGCTTCTGATTATGCTGTTAGATTACAGTATAAGAAACCCACACTGGTGGAGACACAAGGGAGCTTTGTAAGCAGGAGACAAGATAAGGAATCCCTCGGCTTAGAATTCTCATGATTGAGGGCAGGGTAACAGCTAATAGTGAATAAAATGTGGTTAGAAATTGTAATTATCACCGTCCTCATTCTCATCAAAAAAGACTATTAAGTATAGCATAAGTTGTAGTCACATGAGCAAAGTAAGCAGTTTGCTTTCTTTGCTTATTCGCCTTGAGACCTCTCTAACATCTTATCACCTCCTACCCTGGGAAGTTTATCACTCAGACCAGCCTCACCCAAACAGAACCCTGCTCCAGCCCTGCCCAGCCCACTGCACCAATCAAACCTTTGTATTCAGTACCCTACTCTTTTCAAGTGGCTAGAAGCTAGCTTTGTAAAACAATGCATCATTGTATTAACAGAGGAGGACTCATTCTGGCCCTTTAGGTAACAGGCAAGGTTTTAACAGTGCCTCTCTGAAGTCAGGACTCCAGGCTTGAGCCTTCAGGAGCTGACACCAGTGCTGCCTAATATAAGCCAAGTGGGAGAGAAGAGCAGCCCCCTGATGAACCAACAGAGGAGGGGTTTAAGAGCATCCCTTAGAGATGCTTGTTAGATCCTTTGCACAGGCCACTGTCTGCTCTGGCGCACCAAAGGTCACCTTTTGCTAATACTTATTTATGCACAGCATTGTACCAGGTATAAATAAAACGCCACAGGTACCCTTCAAAGGCTCACACATGGCACAAATCCACCCTGATTGGATATACAGGTGCAGGAAATAGAGACAATGGTATAAAAATGTTAACTGTCATTTGGCAAAGAACCATGAGATCCTGCATTACATGTTCAAGGGCAAGAGGGCATTCTGGGAGTTAACTCCATGGGCTCCCCAGTTTTGGATTCTGTCTTTGACAGGAACTCTACAAGATGCTCCATGGAAGAGCATGGCTGGGCTCTATGACATCATCCTTTCTGAAAGGTTAGGGATGTGCCCTAAACATCTCCATAATAATAGGGTGAGTCCAGGGTACTTAATTATACTCATTCAGCACAGAGCCTGTGTGTCCAGAAGGCTTTGGAATGATCCCTGGGATTAGAAATGCAGGGAAAGAAGGGACTCGAGACTTCACAGATGCTTATAAATACTTTATGCAGTGAAATAAATAGTAGGAAGTTGTCTATCATGAGATCGAACCGGACACTAAAGGGTGATTTGAAAATTTTTTTCATTTTATCGAATCCAGCTTTGTCTATAGGGGATGACTGTATTCGTGGTATGAACCAGGCTTTTCACATTGGGGGAGGGGGGTTGTGTGGAGGCTACCAGCTCAGGTACTTCTGAGAGAACTGGAATAGGGCTATTTTCCTGCCAAACGTGTTCCTCTTCCTTATTGTCTGCAAATGTTTTTGTCGTAGCAGATTGACTTTTCATAAAGGGGTCGTAAATACTGCCTCTCTGCTGCTTCTTTCTTCTTGTTCTTGATTCTCCCCCCGAAAGTAAACACAGTCGCAGTCTTCCTATTATTACAGAAACAGAGATTAGGATCACCACAGATTTGTTGGCTGAATTCTTTAGTAAGTCAGCCTGTTCCAGTTGCTGCCCAGCTTCCAGAATTCAGGGGAATAGGCAGTTGGAAACTATTTTTTGTTGTTGTTGTTGCTGGGGCTGGAGAGCATGGGAAGGAGGCCTGAGCAGAACGAAGCCTCCTTTAATCTGGTTGAGGGAGGGCATGCTTTGACCTCCCACTCTTGCCACTTGATCTCTATATATAGTTCTTTGTCCTGTCTCATCAGGCATCCTTTGTTGACATTTCCAAAGGAAATCCCTGTTTAATGCATAGCCCAGGGAGAATGTATACCGACTGATGAATATTTCCTCTTGGCTTCCAAGACTGAACTGTTCTGTGAATAATAAGCATTCCTGAAAGTATTGAGGGAAAGAAAAAAATTGTGAATACAGAGCTTCAGAATTGGTCAGTCAACAACAGAGTGTTTCTTTGGTCAACACTGTGTCCTGTGTGTTGTGGGCAGTTTGGGAACTATACTCTGTTGATGGCCTCCAGAAAATTTGGATCCTAGCTAGGGAAAAGTATGGTAGCCGGTGAGAAAGAGGAAGATTTATGAAGCAGCATGCAGTGTAGCGAGTACACATGAGTGGAGTGTAGTCTTTCCATTTTTACCTCCTCAGCCTTGTTAACTTTTCAGGTACCTGAGCTTATGAAAGCACTTTCCTAGAGGTTTCATGGGCGACCTGTTTTCGTTCCCCCAGAACCGCTGCAGTACAATGGCTTAGGCCATCCCAGGAGCTCCGTGGGCAGGTGGATTTCTTTCTGGTCCCTTCTTCCAGCCTTTTAAGGAACTGAATGGCTTCCCTTAGCTGGGTCTTCAGTTGCTTTCAGGAGCCTTACCATAGGTGGCTGGATGTTCTCCTCCTTTCTGCTTGCATCACACACTGACAGGGTATTCGGTTTGGGAAGGGCAAGAGCCAATGCCTGACTGCTTATCCAGGCATAAAAATAGGTGCTTTAACAGGAATTAATTTTTTAAAAGCACGCTCCTGTGGATGATTTCAGCACATGCTCCTTAAATGTTTGAGAGTCGTCGAGCTAGATTAATAAGGATCGAATCTAAATCACTAAAGCACAAATATGTTTTTTGGAAGATTCTTCTCCAAGCCTTGAGGACATGATGAAATGAAGGAGTGAGTAGGAGTGAATTAAGTGTCATCAGGGAAAATTTCATAGAGAAGAGGCATTTTAGCCAACTGTGTATATGTGGAGGAATAAATTACTCCCTCTGCTGAGAAGAAGAGCAGAGGTATTAGTGGAGGCAGAAGAGAGCATGTCATTTGGGCAAAATGGTATGCTATGCCCTGGGTGGACACTCAGTAGATGGAAATAAATGGGAAACAGTCCCTGCCCTCAACTCAGGGAATTTATGTGGCAGGTAGAATGTCAAACACAGTGTGAAGTAGTAATTATTGTAATGAAAGTAAGTGCAAGATGACAGGCTAGCATAGGGAGAGAAACACCTGAGTCTGCCCGAGGGACTTAGGAAAGACTGCAGGACACCAAGGCTCCTTCCACAGTTTGGCTATTGTGGACATGGCTGCTAGAAACATCGGGGTGCAGGTGTCCCGGCGTTTCATTGCATCTGAATCTTTGGGGTAAATCCCTAACAGTGCAATTGCTGGGTCATAGGGCAGGTCTATTTTTAACTCTTTGAGGAACCTCCACAGGGTGTTTGTTATTCTGTATGTTGGTAAATTGAACACCAATAAAAATTAATTTATTAAAAAAAAGAATGATATTCGAAAAAAATAAAAATAAAAAAAAGAAAGACTGCAGGATGGAAATTAAAAAAAAAGAGTTCTCTTGAAGTAAGAGTAGAATCTTGCCAACGAAAATAAGGTAAGGTAGTAGAGGGGACCTCATGTGAGACTACGGAAGGGTCAAGGGCAGAGGGATGGGCAGGGCACATCAAGATTCAGTCAGAATGGGAGATGTGAGAATCATTGCAAGAGATGA